CGGTGGGATATATAACAAACTTTTATTGATGAAAGATGGACTCTATTTTTGTTTTTAATATTGGCTACAAATAAAGTATCGTTAGATGCGGATATTCAGAGATTTGTCAAAGTTGATTGGACAGGGTGAGGCAAAAGGTTTCTGAAGGAATGGTTCTTACAATCTAGGTATTCCACCTAAGTCACTCATTGGATTCTAAGTTAGAGCACATTAGAGTTATTGTAAATCATATTGTAATTATTACATATCTATATAATCCGGGTTTCTATCATAAATTGTGTGCAGAATGATGCTATATTTTCTGTGGATATTTATGTGCCTGAATGAGGCTTCCTCATTTATGGCGTGACGGTTTATGATGTGAGGTATGAGGCTTCCTCTTTTATGGCGTGACGGTTTATGATGTGAGGTATGAGGCTTCCTCATTTATGGCGTGATAATTTATGATGTGAGGTATGAGGCTTCCTCATTTATGGCGTGATAATTTATGATGTGAGGTATGAGGCTTCCTCATTTATGGCGTGATAATTTATGATGTGAGGTATGAGGCTTCCTCATTTATGGCGTGACGGTTTATGATGTGAGGTATGAGGCTTCCTCATTTGTGGCGTGACAGTTTGTGATGTGAGGTATGAGGCTTCCTCATTTGTGGCGTGACAGTTTGTGATGTGAGGTATGAGGCTTCCTCATTTGTGGCGTGACAGTTTGTGATGTGAGGTATGAGGCTTCCTCATTTGTGGCGTGACAGTTTGTGATGTGAGGTATGAGGCTTCCTCATTTGTGGCGTGACAGTTTGTGATGTGAGGTATGAGGCTTCCTCATTTGTGGCGTGACAGTTTGTGATGTGAGGTATGAGGCTTCCTCATTTGTGGCGTGACAGTTTGTGATGTGAGGTATGAGGCTTCCTCATTTGTGGCGTGACAGTTTGTGATGTGAGGTATGAGGCTTCCTCATTTGTGGCGTGACAGTTTGTGATGTGAGGTATGAGGCTTCCTCATTTGTGGCGTGACAGTTTGTGATGTGAGGTATGAGGCTTCCTCATTTGTGGCGTGACAGTTTGTGATGTGAGGTATGAGGCTTCCTCATTTGTGGCGTGACAGTTTGTGATGTGAGGTATGAGGCTTCCTCATTTATGGCGTGACGGTTTGTGATGTGAGGTATGAGGCTTCCTCATTTGTGGCGTGACAGTTTGTGATGTGAGGTATGAGGCTTCCTCATTTGTGGCGTGACAGTTTGTGATGTGAGGTATGAGGCTTCCTCATTTGTGGCGTGACAGTTTGTGATGTGAGGTATGAGGCTTCCTCATTTGTGGCGTGACAGTTTGTGATGTGAGGTATGAGGCTTCCTCATTTGTGGCGTGACAGTTTGTGATGTGAGGTATGAGGCTTCCTCATTTGTGGTGTGACGGTTTATGATGTGAGGTATGAGGCTTCCTCATTTGTGGCGTGACAGTTTGTGATGTGAGGTATGAGGCTTCCTCATTTGTGGCGTGACAGTTTGTGATGTGAGGTATGAGGCTTCCTCATTTGTGGCGTGACAGTTTGTGATGTGAGGTATGAGGCTTCCTCATTAATGGTGTGACAGTTTGTGATGTGAGGTATGAGGCTTCCTCATTAATGGTGTGACAGTTTGTGATGTGAGGTATGAGGCTTCCTCATTAATGGTGTGACAGTTTGTGATGTGAGGTATGAGGCTTCCTCATTTGTGGTGTGACAGTTTGTGATGTGAGGTATGAGGCTTCCTCATTTGTGGTGTGACGGTTTATGATGTGAGGTATGAGGCTTCCTCATTTGTGGCGTGACAGTTTGTGATGTGAGGTATGAGGCTTCCTCATTTGTGGCGTGACAGTTTGTGATGTGAGGTATGAGGCTTCCTCATTTGTGGCGTGACAGTTTGTGATGTGAGGTATGAGGCTTCCTCATTTATGGCGTGACGGTTTATGATGTGAGGTATGAGGCTTCCTCATTTATGGCGTGACAGTTTGTGATGTGAGGTATGAGGCTTCCTCATTTGTGGCGTGACAGTTTGTGATGTGAGGTATGAGGCTTCCTCATTTGTGGCGTGACAGTTTGTGATGTGAGGTATGAGGCTTCCTCATTGTGGCGTGACAGTTTGTGATGTGAGGTATGAGGCTTCCTCATTTATGGCGTGACGGTTTATGATGTGAGGTATGAGGCTTCCTCATTTGTGGCGTGACAGTTTGTGATGTGAGGTATGAGGCTTCCTCATTTGTGGTGTGACGGTTTATGATGTGAGGTATGAGGCTTCCTCATTTGTGGCGTGACAGTTTGTGATGTGAGGTATGAGGCTTCCTCATTTGTGGCGTGACAGTTTTGTGATGTGAGGTATGAGGCTTCCTCATTTGTGGCGTGACAGTTTGTGATGTGAGGTATGAGACTTCCTCATTTATGGCGTGACGGTTTATGATGTGAGGTATGAGGCTTCCTCATTTATGGCGTGACAGTTTGTGATGTGAGGTATGAGGCTTCCTCATTTGTGGCGTGACAGTTTGTGATGTGAGGTATGAGGCTTCCTCATTTGTGGCGTGACAGTTTGTGATGTGAGGTATGAGGCTTCCTCATTTGTGGCGTGACAGTTTGTGATGTGAGGTATGAGGCTTCCTCATTTGTGGCGTGACAGTTTGTGATGTGAGGTATGAGGCTTCCTCATTTGTGGCGTGACAGTTTGTGATGTGAGGTATGAGGCTTCCTCATTAATGGTGTGACAGTTTGTGATGTGAGGTATGAGGCTTCCTCATTAATGGTGTGACAGTTTGTGATGTGAGGTATGAGGCTTCCTCATTAATGGTGTGACAGTTTGTGATGTGAGGTATGAGGCTTCCTCATTTGTGGTGTGACAGTTTGTGATGTGAGGTATGAGGCTTCCTCATTAATGGTGTGACAGTTTGTGATGTGAGGTATGAGGCTTCCTCATTTGTGGTGTGACGGTTTATGATGTGAGGTATGAGGCTTCCTCATTTGTGGTGTGTTTATGATGTGAGGTATGAGGCTTCCTCATTTATGGTGTGACAGTTTGTGATGTGAGGTATGAGGCTTCCTCATTAATGGTGTGACAGCTTATGATGTGAAGTATGAGGCTTCCTCATTAATGGCGTGACAGCTTATGATGTGAGGTATGAGGCTTCCTCATTAATGGCGTGATAGTTTATGATGTGAAGTATGAGGCTTCCTCATTTATGGCGTGACAGTTTGTGATGTGAGGTATGAGGCTTCCTCATTTGTGGCGTGACAGTTTGTGATGTGAGGTATGAGGCTTCCTCATTTGTGGCGTGACAGTTTGTGATGTGAGGTATGAGGCTTCCTCATTTATGGCGTGACGGTTTATGATGTGAGGTATGAGGCTTCCTCATTTATGGCGTGACAGTTTGTGATGTGAGGTATGAGGCTTCCTCATTTGTGGCGTGACAGTTTGTGATGTGAGGTATGAGGCTTCCTCATTTGTGGCGTGACAGTTTGTGATGTGAGGTATGAGGCTTCCTCATTTGTGGCGTGACAGTTTGTGATGTGAGGTATGAGGCTTCCTCATTTGTGGCGTGACAGTTTGTGATGTGAGGTATGAGGCTTCCTTATTAATGGTGTGACAGTTTGTGATGTGAGGTATGAGGCTTCCTCATTAATGGTGTGACAGTTTGTGATGTGAGGTATGAGGCTTCCTCATTTGTGGTGTGACAGTTTGTGATGTGAGGTATGAGGCTTCCTCATTAATGGTGTGACAGTTTGTGATGTGAGGTATGAGGCTTCCTCATTTGTGGTGTGACGGTTTATGATGTGAGGTATGAGGCTTCCTCATTTGTGGTGTGTTTATGATGTGAGGTATGAGGCTTCCTCATTTATGGTGTGACAGTTTGTGATGTGAGGTATGAGGCTTCCTCATTAATGGTGTGACAGCTTATGATGTGAAGTATGAGGCTTCCTCATTAATGGCGTGACAGCTTATGATGTGAGGTATGAGGCTTCCTCATTAATGGTGTGATAGTTTATGATGTGAAGTATGAGGCTTCCTCATTTATGGTGTGACAGTTTATGATGTGAAGTATGAGGCTTCCTCATTTATGGTGTGACAGTTTATGATGTAAGGTGGTGATGTCTCCAAGAGTGATCTGGGGTGGTGATATAGAGCTCTGGATGTCATGATGTGTTACATGGATTAAAAATTGTACTAATTCAGTATCATTGGTGTATAGTCACTCAAGTGGCGTGTAGGAACCCACAGACATACACCACAATCCTGTATGTTGTTCTTAATGTTAATATATTTTAATCAAAATACATGCGCTAGGTTTCTGTACAAGCTAGAAACTAGCTAGGCTTGGTTTCTTTGGGAATTTCCTCGGAGCACTTAACAGTAACTAACATAAACTGATTGTTAAGTACAGTATCTACTTAAGTACTTACTGTTAAGTACCAGGGGCCAGATTCACGAAAGCACTTACGCAAGCATTTACGAACGTGTACATCTTTCCTCAATCTTTGACGGCTTTGGTTACATTTAATAAGCAGTTTACAAGCATGAAAACTTGCCAATCAACTGTTGTTATTGTTATAAACAGCCTCCTGGTGCTTCGAAGCTCATTAACTGTTTAATAATTGTAAACAAAGCCGACAAATTTTGAGAAAAGATGTACAGGTTCGTAAGTGCTTGCCTAACTGCTTCGTGAATCTAGCCCCAGGAATCTTCTAGTCCATCATTCTCACTCTCAGACTGTAGACATAACACAAGACCTTTCACCCAGGCTCCCTCCACCATCTTCTGGGTGCGCAAAGGCACTGGATCACACAGTCACAACCTCATAGAGCCCTACAAGACGTATACCCGCCCGCCACCAAGGCTGGGATAGAACTGATCCCAAATGAAGTTTTCAATCACCTTTACTCCCTCAGGAGTAATATGGCTTCGCGTCCTCAGGGGGTCCGTGGCACTGGTCTCCACGCCCTCGGGGAGCTCCACCGCCCTTAACAGCGTTATGTTACCATAAGACTATGTCGCTGAGCGGGACGTCCACCTTCCTGGATAGAATAGTGTCTCCTGTATTAGTTTACTGCCTGGGCTTAGGCTTCCGCGACCACTGCCCTCACAGGTTTCACAAACTTTTAGTGTCACGCCTGTTCCGATTGGCGGATCACCGGCCTTGTTCTCAGGCTAATAGGTAAATAGTTACTACACTCACTGGTCGTCCTATTGAACGCTACGAGCCTCTCCTCACTCTACCTTTCATGTGTACATCAATTTCCTGGACTCTCGATTGCGTCGGGGCATCCTAGAGCACATAGCCTCACCCTATATATAATAGTCGCCAGGGTGTAGAAGTGTACTGATCAAGGGCGTCGTGTTGGGCTTCACTACCAACAGCTGATCCACTCTGCCACTTTTCCACCTCGTTCAAGAGGCTACTACAGCCACAGACCTCTCAAAACCGGCGGTATTTTCCTGGTGTGCTGGCGTCGACGTCTGCCCTTGTTCGCGGGCGTCAGGTAGGAAGACATGACTCTCACAGAGGCTAGAATTTGAGCGGTGGGTCACCTGACCAGGAGGCTAGGAGGCTACGGTGCTTCCACGACCAAGACAGGAGGCTACAGTGCCTCCACGACCAGGGCAGGAGGCTACGGTGCCTCCACGACCAAGGCAGGAGGCTACTGTGCTTCCACGACCAAGGCAGGAGGCTACTGTGCTTCCACGACCAATGCAGGAGGCTACCGTGCTTCCACGACCAGGGTAGGAGGCTACCGTGCCTCCACGACCAGGGTAGGAGGCTACTGTGCCTCCACGATCAAGGCAGGAGAGGCTACTGTGCCTCCACGACCAAGGCAGGAGAGGCTACTGTGCCTCCACGACCAAGGCAGGAGAGGCTATCGTGCCTCCACGACCAAGGCAGGAGAGGCTATCGTGCCTCCACGACCAAGGCAGGAGAGGCTACCGTGCCTCCACGACCAAGGCAGGAGAGGCTCCCGTGCCTCCACGACCAAGGCAGGAGAGGCTACCGTGCCTCCACGACCAAGGCAGGAGAGGCTACCGTGCCTCCACGACCAAGGCAGGAGAGGCTACCGTGCCTCCACGACCAAGGCAGGAGAGGCTACCGTGCCTCCACGACCAAGGCAGGAGAGGCTACCGTGCCTCCACGACCAAGGCAGGAGAGGCTACCGTGCCTCCACGACCAAGGCAGGAGAGGCTACCGTGCCTCCACGACCAAGGCAGGAGAGGCTACCGTGCCTCCACGACCAAGGCAGGAGAGGCTACCGTACCTCCACGACCAAGGCAGGAGAGGCTACCGTGCCTCCACGACCAAGGCAGGAGAGGCTACGGTGCCTCTACGACCAAGGCAGGAGAGGCTACGGTGCCTCCACGACCAAGGCAGGAGAGGCTACGGTGCCTCCACGACCAAGGCAGAAGAGGCTACGGTGCCTCCACGACCAAGGCAGGAGAGGCTACGGTGCCTCCACGACCAAGGCAAGAGACTACGGTGTCTCCACGACCAAGGCAGGAGAGGCTACGGTGCCTCCACGACCAAGGCAGGAGAGGCTACGGTGCCTCCACGACCAAGGCAGGAGAGGCTACGGTGCCTCCACGCCCACGGCAGGAGAGGCTACGGTGCCTCCACGACCAAGGCAGGAGGCTACGGTGCCTCCACGACCAAGGCAGGAGGCTACGGTGCCTCCACGACCAAGGCAGGAGGCTACGGTGCCTCCACGACCACGGCAGGAGGCTACGGTGCCTCAACGACCAAGGCAGGAGGCTACGGTGCCTCCACGACCAAGGCAGGAGGCTACGGTGCCTCCACGACCAAGGCAGGAGGCTACGGTGCCTCCACGACCAGGGCAGGAGGCTACGGTGCCTCCACGACCAAGGCGGGAGGCTACGGTGCCTCCACGACCCAGGCGGGAGGCTAGTGTGCCTCCACGACCAAGGCGGGAGGCTACTGTGCCTCCACGACCAAGGCAGGATGCTACTGAGCCTCCACGACCAAGGCAGGAAGCTACAGTGCCTCCACGACCAAGGCAGGAAGCTACAGTGCCTCCACGACCAAGGCTAGAGACTACTGTGCCTCCACGACCAAGGCTAGAGACTACTGTGCCTCCACGACCAAGGCTAGAGACTACTGTGCCTCCACGACCAAGGCAGGAGACTACTGTGCCTCCACGACCAAGGCAGGAAGCTACTGTGCCTCCACGACTAAGGCAGGAGGCTACAGTGCCTCCACGACCAAGGCAGGAAGCTACAGTGCCTCCACGACCAAGGCAGAAGGCTACAGTGCCTCCACGACCAGGGTAGGAGGCTACTGTGCCTCCACGACCAAGGTAGGAGGCTACTGTGCCTCCACGACCAGGGTAGGAGGCTACTGTGCCTCCACGACCAGGGTAGGAGGCTACTGTGCCTCCACGACCAGGGTAGGAGAGGCTACAGTGCCTCCACGACCAAGGCAGGAAGCTACAGTGCCTCCACGACCAAGGCAGGAGGCTACAGTGCCTCCACGACCAGGGTAGGAGGCTACTGTGCCTCCACGACCAAGGCAGGAGGCTACTGTGCCTCCACGACCAAGGCAGGAGAGGCTACTGTGCCTCCACGACCAAGGCAGGAGGCTACAGTGCCTCCACGACCAAGACAGGAGACTACAGTGCCTCCACGACCAAGGCAGGAGACTACAGTGCCTCCACAACCAAGGCAGGAGAGGCTACAGTGCCTCCACAACCAATGTTACAGTGACTACCGCCCGAGTGACGAACTATGTAACGTTGATTCTTTTTCTTTATTGCCAACGCAATAAAGAAAAAGAATCAATGTCGACGCAACTGTAGTACCTGAAACATAATAAAACACTATGGAAACAGAATGATATACAAACGTACCTTAAATTCGTCGATTTTTGTCCCACGAGGAGCTGTTAGGGAAGCACTTACCTGTAATATGAGAACAATTGCAATTAAATATATGTAATAATAAATATATTGCAATTAAATTGCAATGATAAATATTTTAAATATATAAATATTACGTAAATTATACATTTTAAGATCTCATACACAATAGAAATCACCACACACTAAGTGCAATATATTGAATTCTTTTATAAGCAGCGAAGGTGACACTTGAAGGTGACACTTGAGGCTCAAGGTGTAACTTACCGTATCCTGAAGGTTGTCCTTACTGTGGTACCACCAACCACAGTCGAGGGTGATTAGCTCAAGACTGCTTGTTACAGCCTCGCTGCCACAAACGTAATATTATTTTCAGTCAAAATATTGATTGATTGCAAATGTTATTTCTTATCGAAATAATTGGTGTTGCCAAAGATTCACTAATATTGCACACACGATGTAAATATTGTCAACACAATACTAGAAACACCGATCGATTGATAAAGAGCTGTCAATAACTATGCCATTTCGCCGCGGTAGTTAAGAAATGTCTTGCATAGTTCTTACAAGAAAAATCAACACACTCGAGTCAAAATTAGTCACTTAGAGCTCCATTGCTCTGTTTTGTACTTCACAACTGCACGTTCTTGCTAGACAAGATACTTAAGTACCAATGAAAGTTAAAACAATTTATATTTTCTCTTAAAACAAACTACCAGTAACAAAAGTGGTGGTGAGGCGAGATCAACGAGCCACAACTATCCATAAGCACTACAATGTTTATACGTCTGTAAAATCACTTCAACCGAACGTATGGTTGCTATTATCCGGTCATTATTGGTGAAATATTGCCGTAACCGGCCACACACAACCGTATCAAACCGCGGGTAATGTCCGAGTGATTTGGCGGGCAAGATAGGGTTCAGATTCGCTTCCTCGAGCGAATCTCCTAAAAACTCTCAAACACTCGAAGCCTGGTGATGGTGTCTCGTCACAGCCCGTCATTAAAGCACCGACTCTCGTAAAAAACACGAACAATTGGGCTCAAAACTGTAAATCATAGTATTACAATTTACGAAGATCAGGAAAATATCAGGCTGTTCCTAGGCTACGCCCACCCACACTGACTCAATTATCAATTTTAAAGCACTGCGTATTCAAAATAAGTATTTTCTCAGCTGGGATATATCATTATTATATGCTGGAATGTATTGAGTAGTTATATCTAACTTAGATTTGATGAGGTGAAAACATTTATAAAGATGCTCACACACACATCAGCTGTATGTCGGGTTCCAATTTTTTCACTCGTAAACAAAAAAGTTGACAAACACAAAATAATGGCAAACAGAGCCTAAATAACTAACTTAACCTACGCCAAACGATACATACAATTTGAATATATAATAATACCCATTTATACACGAGAAATTAGCTTTTAATACACAATACGAAGCGAAATTACGACTGCGGCTTGGAGACCTGTCGTACCCACATGTCTCAGTCAGGCTATGGAGGTTGTGGAGCTCGTCTCGTAGAGTGAAATATGGATATCTTTTGTGTATAAGTGAAGAACAGCGTGAAAAATCTTCTTGTTATGAGAAACTGTAGATCCAGGAACGTTGTGGCAGTTAATTACTCAAGTCTTGACTTCGTTAGACGGGAGAACAAGGCTCCCTCGTCCTCCAATCAAGGTAATTCAAGCCTCTTAGTTTCAATGCCTCGTTTCACTGCTGAAACATATATAAATTAAAATGTACTTAAATACAGTGATTTGTATGACATATATGTGATTACTGAGACCTTAAAAAAATATATAATGGCAATATATTTAAGCGTATATCTAATTTATATCTTCTGTCATTACAGGTAAGTGCCACCCACAACAGCTCCTCGTTGGACAGAAATCGCCCAATTTAAGGTAAGATCCTATTTTCCTTCTGTTTCCATAGGGTTTAATGACGTATAACGCATTAACGCACGCGTAGACAACGCATAATCTGCGTTGGTGTCGAGTCTGTTTCTTTATTGCGTTGGCAATAAAGAAATCAAAGAGTCATCTGATTGGTCACAGGAGCGTTAAAGTCACTATATAACCTTGATGTTAACCTATATAATAGGGGGAGAGGTCAATCAGTTAGCCCATCAGGTTGATCACTTATTAATTAGACTGTCTATTAGGTAGATAAATTAGTTAAATAATCTATCAGGGTCCACCCACCTTCAGATTATCTACCCTCTATCAGGGGGGATTGACCCCCTCTATCAGGGGGGATTGACCCCCTCTATCAGGGGGGATTGACCCCCTCTATCAGGGGGGATTGACCCCCTCTATCAGGGGGGATTGACCCCCTCTATCAGGGGGTGGGGGGCGGGGGGTTGACCACCACCCATCAGATCTACCCCCCATCAGAACGACCACCCACCGGAACGACCACCCATCAGGTCGAGTACGACATAAGCCCTTGGGAAATTATCCTTGAACCGAGAAATTTTAAAACTGAAAAGGTTTCCCAGTAGTAAAAAAAAAAGTGTTAATACCAACGTCTTTTGTGTGTATTTTTTTTTATTGTGATGTGAAAAGGGGAAATGAAACTTTCTTATGAATACAGCTTGAGCGTAGAGCGCCTTAAGCTCCAACTGGAGACACAAAGGTTTCTAAAGGATAAGATTTTCTTTAACTCTCCATAATGGCTTTCAGTTCTTTCCGGAAAAATCTGTTGTTATTTGTCATTTTCTTCCGTAAGATTTATATCCCTGTGGCAATAATTCCTTTTCTGCTGATGTATTCTGAGGATCTTAAAGATTTTCTCCCAAGACGTATATATGGGCCGTTTCTCGGCTGTGGCTTGTGTACACAAAAGCGAGGGTTAAGACACTGGTTCGAGGTTAGCTTGAGGTTACCTTGCGATGATTTCGGGGCTCAATGTCCCTGCGGCTCGGTCGTCGACCAGGCCTCCTGGTTGCTGGACTGGTCAACCAGACTGTTGGACGCGGCTGTTCGCAGCCTGACGTATGAGTTACAGCCTGGTTGATCAGGTATCCTTTGGAGGTGCTTGTCAAGTTCTCTCTTGAACACTGTGAGGGGTCGGCCAGTTATGTCCCTTATGTGTAGTGGAAGCGTGTTGAACAGTCTCGGGCCTCTGATGTTGATAGTTCTCTCTCAGAGTACCTGTTGCACCTCTGCTTTAAAACAATAGTTAGGGTAGTTAAGGTAAATCGTCTGGATGTGCTTGCAACAAATTTTTTATTTTTTTTATTTTTGTTTTAATAAAATGTTATAACATTAATTGTATTTTCCTTTCGTTGGTGAAACAAATTGACCACAAAATAATATGCAATGAATTTTCTGTTTGTTTCTTAATAAATATCACTAATTAATACGCTTATATATTACTCAGTGACAAAGATTGACTTTTAATAAGCACTGTTTTATCTAAATACATTTCTTGCTCCAACATCTCACGTCTCACCCTCTGATTGGTTACAATTACAAGAGTGTAGATGTTAACATCTATTACCATCCTAGTTACAGTACCTGAAGCCAACAGCTTAGCAATGAATCATAAATATGTGAAATGCTGCAGACACACTTTGCCACCACTGAGTCAGCAACTGCCATCAAAAGGCACTACGGGCTCACCATAGCCCGTGCTACTTGGAAGTTTGTTCCAGGTAGCGAATCTTTAACAACAACAAGCCATCAACACACAATTTCTCACACGTCGACTGAACTGCTCATGTGTTGACTAATACGGATCAATAACCGCTTCACAAATAACATTTCACTGGGGAACAGCCGCAATAAAGTATTATTGCTCAGTGCAAGAACACTGCTTGTTTTTAACGTCAATTCTCAAAACCTTCGATTCTCAAAAAAGCCGAGTCATCTATAATTCTCAGTTGACTATTAAAATTCTAATTTTCTCACTTACAGGTGTCTGAAAGTGATGTTTCGCTCTCAGACCCATACGAGGCTTTATCAAGCTGTAGTTCAAGACTGTGCGTCTAATGGTTATAGAATTGTCTTAAGAGAACGTATGGCCACCTCTACTGTCTCATAGATGGGGGGGTGAGGTGAGAGAGGGGGGGAGAATGGGGGTAGATTGGGGGGTAGAAGTTCGGGCAGACGAGGGTAGGCAGTTCCCACTTTGCCAGCACCAATGACAACGTCGCTACGCTCCAAATGCCCCATTTTAATTGGCTATTCTAACAAAGCCATAACTGTCTGTCACACGCCCCCGCTTTCCTGATAGTCTGTCAACAACAGATAAATATGTTTGTTTGTTTTTGCTTATATATATCCCGACAATTTGTTGAATGTGTGTTTGTCAATATGTGTCATTCTGTTTCTCTCATTCCTGTATATCTGGTCTGTTATGTGTGTCTGTTCTGTCTGTTTCTGTGTAAGTGTTCGTCTCTCTTTATCTGCTGTCTGTCTAAGCTTGTTTGTGTATTCGTCTGTTTGAACATTAATAGCTTTTTCTGTCATTGCAATGGCTTCTTCGCTGTATTTTGACGGTAGAAAATGTTCACCTCGCTACGATTTCTTTGTGGAAATCCTTTCTCCTTTGTTTTTCTGACGGAGAAACGGACAAAAATACCTGAAATTGAAGGAAGATCAGATCAACTAGGCTTCAAAACTCAAGTCACCACTTTTACTGACTCAGTATTATTAGACACGTGAACTATATTGGCCTATTGCTCGAGTAAAGCAACTTTTTTATCAACACTGCGTGTTTTAGTATTTATTTACTGTAATTTACTCTATTTACTCCACACAGCCTAATATGAGCTGCGTGGTGGGTTGTGTGTGTGTGTGTGTGTGTGTGTGTGTGTGTGTGTGTGTGTGTGTGTGTGTGTGTGTGTGTGTGTGTGTGTGTGTGTGTGTGTGTGTGTGTGTGTGTGTGTGTGTGTGTGTGTGTGTGTGTGTGTGTGTGTGTGTGTGTGTGTGTGTGTGTGTGTGTGTGTGTGTGTGTGTGTGTGTGTGTGTGTGTGTGTGTGTGTGTGTGTGTGTACTCATCAAGTTGTGTTTGCGGGGGTTGAGCTCTGGCTCTTTGGTCCTGCCTCTCCCGCGTGTGTGTGTGTGTTGTGAAGAGTTCTGTCTATTACTAATCCCGTCTATCAAGACCCTTCTCACCAGGCTGTATTACAATTCGCTGTAATACATAACATCTGTAACCCCGAGTAAGGAAGAACACAGAACACCGTAGATGTAATTCATTACATATTTACACAGGTGAAATTATAATTAGCTGAATAATCTTCGAACGGCCACAGAATCGTTAAACAAACTATTATATTACTCCGAGAATTGGTCTCTTAGAAGACCAATTAAGACCATCTTAGAAGAGGTGTTAGAATAATCAGATTCTAAGATTTCTACTCAATATAGTACAAGGGAGCAGGAGGGTAGACATATCCCTAAGCTGCTCTCATAACTCTTTGAGATGTGGCATATTGTCTCAACAAACGTATTTGAACTTGAGTTCAATAAGTTATTGAACATTGAGCCACAGGTGTCTAAGGTGTGTTTGCAATGTTACGTAGTATAGGTATAGATGTTACATAGGTAACATAGGTTATAGTCTGGGGCGGTTTATGCAGAGAAGAGGGTAGCAGTAGCCTAGGCTCCTATACTCTTTTTCAGCTGTATCTTATCTTACTGTAGTAATGCACTAGGCTCCTATACCCTTTTTCAGCTGTATCTTATCTTACTGTAGTAATACACTAGGCTCCTATACCCTTTTTAGCTTATCTTGGTGTAGTAATACACTAGGCTCCTCTACCCTTTTTTTAGCTTTATCTTACTGTAGTAATACACTAGGCTCCTGTACCCTTTTTAGCTCTATCTTACTGTAGTAATACATTAGGCTCCTGTACCCTTTTCAGCTGTATCTTACTGTAGTAATACACTAGGCTCTACCCTTTTCAGCTGTATCTTACTGTAGCAATAGACTAGGCTCCTCTACCTTTTTTAGCTTTATCTTACTGTAGTAATACACTAGGCTCCTCTATCCTTTTCAGCTTTATCTTACTGTAGTAATACACTAGGCTCCTCTACCCTTTTCAGCTGTATCTTAATAAACGTACTTAAACTACTTGAACTACTACTACGAACAATTAAGACATTTCCCGACCGTAATTTTGACATACAAGGCTGTACACCAGACAAAATCAAGCCCATGAATGCCAAATATAACATCTGTGGCTCTTAGATATCACTGTACGATAACATAAAATGGTTCACTGAGTAAAGGAGAAATATCATACCAGTGCAAGATGGCTAATGGTATTTTTATATATAAGGAAATGGATTAAACGACAGACACTATAATGTACACCAGAATCTCTGACATATATATTATATATATATATATATATATATATATATATATATATTATATATACTAGTCTGACGCGACACGAGCGCGTTTCGTAAAACTTATTACATTTTCAAAGACTTAGTTCACAAATACACAACTGAATAGAACTTACGCATCTCCGATTTTATATCTACATTTGATGAGGTGGAAGGGGTGATGTGGCATTAACACAAGACAGAACAAGATGTGCATTAATTGGTATTAATTTCATCAACACAAGACAGAACAAAAGGTGGTATTAATAGGGTATTAATTTCATCAACACAAGACAGAACACGAAACATGGATAGTGAATAGAAGTGTTTGTAGAAAGCCTATTGGTCCATATTTCTTGATGCTTCTATATTGGAGCGGAGTCTTGAGGTGGGTAGAATATAGTTGTGCATTAATTGGCTGTTGATTGCTGATGTTGACTTCTTGATGTGTAGTGCCTCGCAAACGTCAAGCCGCCTGCTATCGCTGTATCTATCGATGATTTCTGTGTTGTTTACTAGGATTTCTCTGGCGATGGTTTGGTTGTGGGAAGAGATTATATGTTCCTTAATGGAGCCCTGTTGCTTATGCATCGTTAAACGCCTAGAAAGAGATGTGTTGTCTTGCCTATATACTGGGTTTTTTGGAGCTTACAGTCCCCAAGAGGGCATTTGAAGGCATAGACGACGTTAGTCTTTTTTAAAGCGTTCTGTTTTGTGTCTGGAGAGTTTCTCATGAGTAGGCTGGCCGTTTTTCTGGTTTTATAGTAAATCGTCAGTTGTATCCTCTGATTTTTGTCTGTAGGGATAACGTTCCTATTAACAATATCTTTCAGGACCCTTTCCTCCGTTTTATGAGCTGTGGAAAAGAAGTTCCTGTAAAATAGTCTAATAGGGGGTATAGGTGTTTGTGTTTAGTTGTCTCTTCAGAGGTTGCATGGCTTTTCACTTTCCTTCTTATGATGTCTTCGACGAAACCATTGGAGAAGCCGTTATTGACTAGGACCTGCCTTACCCTACAGAGTTCTTCGTCGACTTGCTTCCATTCTGAGCTGTGGCTGAGAGCACGGTCGACATATGCGTTAACAACACTCCTCTTGTACCTGTCTGGGCAGTCGCTGTTGGCATTTAGGCACATTCCTATGTTTGTTTCCTTAGTGTAGACTGCAGTGTGGAAACCTCCGCCCTTTTCCCCTGACTGTTACATCTAGAAAGGGCAGCTTCCCATCCTTTTCCATCTCGTAAGTGAAACGCAGCACAGAACTCTGCTCAAATGCCTCCTTCAGCTCCTGCAGATGTCTGACATCAGGTACCTGTGTAAAAATGTCGTCAACATACCTGCAGTATATGGCCGGTTTCAAGTTCATGTCGACTAAGACTTTTTGCTCGATGGTACCCATGTAGAAGTTTGCAAACAGGACACCTAGGGGAGAACCCATGGCGAACGCATATGTCGACCGTGCTCTCAGCCACAGCTCAGAATGGAAGCAAGTCGACGAAGAACTCTGTAGGGTAAGGCAGGTCCTAGTCAATAACGGCTTCCAATGGTTTCGTCGAAGACATCATAAGAAGGAAAGTGAAAAGCCATGCAACCTCTGAAGAGACAACTAACACAACACCTATACCCCCTATTAGACTATTTTACAGGAACTTCTTTTCCACAGCTCATAAAACGGAGGAAAGGGTCCTGAAAGATATTGTTAATAGGAACGTTATCCCTACAGACAAAAATCAGAGGATACAACTGACGATTTACTATAAAACCAGAAAACGGCCAGCCTACTCATGAGAAACTCTCCAGACACAAAACAGAACGCTTTAAAAAAGACTAACGTCGTCTATGCCTTCAAATGCCCTCTTGGGGACTGTAAGCTCCAAAAAACCCAGTATATAGGCAAGACAACAACATCTCTTTCTAGGCGTTTAACGATGCATAAGCAACAGGGCTCCATTAAGGAACATATAATCTCTTCCCACAACCAAACCATCGCCAGAGAAATCCTAGTAAACAACACAGAAATCATCGATAGATACAGCGATAGCAGGCGGCTTGACGTTTGCGAGGCACTACACATCAAGAAGTCAACACCAGCAATCAATAGCCAATTATTGCACAACTATATTCTACCCACCTCAAGACTCCGCTCCAATATAGAAGCATCAAGAAATATGGACCAATAGGCTTTCTACAAACACTTCTATTCAATATCCATTGTTTCGTGTTCTGTCTTGTGTTGATGAAATTAATACCCTATTAATACCACCTTTTGTTCTGTCTTGTGTTGATGAAATTAATACCCTATTAATGCCACATCTTGTTCTGTCTTGTGTTAATGCCACATCACCCCTTCCACCTCACTCAAATGTAGATATAAAATCGGAGATGCGTAAGTTCTATTCAGTTGTGTATTTGTGAACTAAAGTCTTTGAAAATGTAATAAGTTTTACGAAACGCGCTCGTGTCGCGTCAGACTAGAAATAAAAATGCATTTTGGAGAATTGATTTTTGATTTACCTCCAACAGTGAAAAGAAATGTACGAAAGATTGAGAAAATTCGTGTTAGAATTATTAATCTTACTTTTTCGGTCATATTTAATAATATATATATATATATATATATATATATATATATATATATATATATATATATATATATATATATATATATATATATATATATATATATATATATATATATATATATA